TGTTTTTAGGGGATTTTTTAAGGGAATTTTGGGGGAATTTGGAGGTATTTTGGGGGGATTTTGGAGGGAATTTTTGGGGAATTTTTTAGGCAATTGTAGGGGATTTTTGGGTGATTTTTTGGGGAGTTTTTAGGGAGTTTTTTTGGGAATTTTAGGGGATTTTTAGGGGATTTTTGGGCGATTTTTTGGGGAATTTTTTAGGCAATTTTAGGGGATTTTGGAGGGATTTTTGGGGAAATTTTTTTAGGGAATTTTAGGCGATTTTGGGGGGATTTTTTGGGAAATTTTTTTGGAGTTTTAGGGGATTTTTTAGGGGATTTTTTAGGGGAGTTTTTGTGATTTTTGGGGGAATTTTTTAGGCAATTTTAGGGGATTTTAGGGGATCTTTGGGGTTTTTTTTGGTGATTTTTGGGGGAATTTTAGGGGATTTTGGGGGGATTTTTGGTGATTTTTTGGGGAATGTTTTAGGGAATTTTAGGGGATTTTTGTGGGGATTTTTTAGGGGATTTTTTTGTGATTTTTTGGGGGAATTTTTTAGGCAATTTCAGTGAATTTTTGGGGGGATTTTTGGTGATTTTTTGGGGGAATTTTAGGGGATTTTTGGGCGATTTTTGGGGGAATTTTTTAGGCAATTTTAGGGGATTTTGGGGAATTTTTAAGGCAATTTTAGGGTTTTTTGGGGGGAATTTTTTAGGCAATTTTAGGGGATTTTGGGGAATTTTTAAGGCAATTTTAGCGGTTTTTTGGGGGAATTTTTTAGGGAATTTTGGGGGATTTTGGGGGGATTTTTTAGGGGATTTTTGGTGATTTTTTGTGGGATTTTTTAGGGGATTTTTTGGGGGAATTTTTTTAGGCAATTTTAGGGGATTTTGGGGCGATTTTGGGGGAATTTTTTTTTGAATTTTAGGCGATTTTTGGGGGGATTTTTTTAGGGGATTTTGGGTAATTTTTTGGGGTAAATTTTTTAAATTTTATAATTTTCGTTGTCTCCCCGTTGTGTCCGTGCCCCCGGGCCGTGTCACCCGCGGGGATTTTTAACCCCTCAGGTCCCGTGGCGCGCCTGGAGCCGGGGCTGATCCCCCTGCCCGACGCCGCCGCGCTCGAGTGGGCGACGCTCGTGAGCGCGGCCACGGCCTACGAGGGTGAGGG